GCAATGAATTCACACTAAAGGGGGAAAAGCAACATCTATTGTCCTTAGAGTCTCTTCCCCACAGCAAGACAAGTCTCTTCGCAGGTATGCCAGTGCTGCTCCAGGCTGCCAGGGAAACGGGCCCTCACGCCAGAGCAGGGAAGTCTTCAGGGTCATCGGGGTTTGGAGCAACGTCTTGGGTCTGAAAGAAAAGTTTTGGAACCAACTGTTATTTCACCCATTCCCACCTGGGGAGAGCACTGTGAGCGGCACGGGCGTGCTCACCTAGGGGCGGGGGCCCACACACTGAGGCAGAGTCGGGGCCAGGGAAAGACGAGCTGTGGGTGGCAGGTGAGGCGCTGCCTCTGAGCCGCCAGGCTGAAGGGTGCCCCCTTCTCACTCAGTCCTGTCCCCTCTAGCAAGCGCCTGGCAGTGCCCTCCCCTTCCCTCCCCCATCCTTCCTGAGTGACTCTGTAGCTGGCACGTGCTCCATCCAGTCAGCAGACGGAAAGCTGACACAGGATGATCAAAGACAGTTCCCGCCCTGGGGCAGCTCGCAGGGGAAGGGAAACAGACGGGAGAGTCAGCCCGGAACTTCAGTAACGAACGCCCGGGGAGGGGCCCACGGGAGGGGTGTCCAAAGCACTTTGGGGGCCAAGAACGCATGGGACGGTCAGGGAAGGTTTTTCTGGAAGAGCGGGCTCTCCCAGGTGTGATCCTCAGTGAATGAGCAGAGAACTCGGCTGTGAAACTGCAACCTGACTGCGGGGCAGGGAGAGCACGGGGCGGCGGGCGGACAGAGCTCCACACTAGGGCTCCGGGGCTGCAGCTCTGCTTGCGAGGGAGACAGTGGATAGTTTCTGCTCTCAGAACAGAAACCTTTCTCCAGCCTGGCCTCAAATGTACCCAGAAAAAACTGTGGTGTTTTTTGCTCTTGCTTACAAGTATAACCACCTGTAGGCACTCCTCCCAGGGCCGCTCCTGGGAGCCAGGGAATGGGCGGCAAAGGGAACATCTCCACCCTGGCCAGTCTCCTCAGTGGTTAGAGCCTCGGCCTGCGGACTGAAGGGTCTCGGGTTCAATTCCGGCCCAGGGCACGTACCTCGGTTGCAGGTTCCATCCCCAGCCCCATTAGGGGTGCATCTGAGAGGCAGCCAATTGATGTGTCTCACATCGATGTCTCTCTCTCTCTCTCTCTCTCTCTCTCCCCCCCTCCCTCTCCCTTCTACTCTCTCTGAAAAGCAATGGAAAAAATATCCTCGAGTGAGGATTAAGAAAAAGGAACATCTCCAAGACCAGCCACAGAGAAGGGGCTCTTGCTCGTCGTAAGGACTCCACGGGCCGCGCTGTCCACAGGGCCTTGTGCCCGATCCTACTAAGCAGGTATTCATATATTTGCTCATAAAGCACTTACGAAGCACCCACGATGCTTACATTGTGCTAGGCCCTGGGGGAAATGATAAAGACCCGGTTGCTGCCACCCACCAGCAGGATCAATGATCACACCAGTGAGAAGTCACCACTGGAGATAATCCCCTGCTCAAGACTGAACTGGTCTGGAAGGAAATGCAATCAAAGCAGCCTCCTCTGAGTGGGGAGGGCAGAGGAGCTGTTCCAGGGAAGCGGGCAAGGGTCCGTGCAGTGCGGAGCGGCATGTGCAGCACTGGAGGCAGGGCAGACCTGGCTGAGTGAGAAGGGGGGTCGCAGGGGATTCTGTCCACCCTGAAAGCATAACAGGCCTGCAATCAGGCCATCGTGCTTCAGCAGTCATCAGGACACCTGACTCGATCCCAAGCCTGGGAACGTCTGACGCAGACGAGTGGGTTTCTCTGAGCACACCCTCAGGGCAGGCAGTGGCCCTCCCTGGAGACTCTGGAGGCCAGGGCTACAGAACAGCCTGTACCCAGCTGATGCCCATGATGCTGACATCACCGCTCCAAACACCTCGACATCAGACCCACACTAGGTGGAGGAATCCATGGCCCTCCAAAACCACACGTGCAGGGCCAGGCATCCCTACCCTCTCGGCTGCTTCAGAAAACGCCAGAGTATAGAATACAATACATACCACCACTTCTGCTCTGGGTCCGTAGTTCTCTGCCCTTCTGATCCTTCCCCGGCCTCCCCGAGTGCTGCCTCTGGCTCCGCGCCCGGGACGAGGGAGGTTACCAAAGTTAATCTCCAGCTGCGACGTGATGTCATTGGCCGCCTTCCTGAAAACATGGGCATCATCCTCACAGTCGTCCTTTACCATCTGAAACACAGTTACAGCATCACACAGCTGTCTCCACGGACACACACGGGCTCGGGGTCCTAGCAACGTGCTTCAAGGGAGCTCAGCCGGCCTTGTGGCCGGGAGTGGCCCTCCGGATGCATCCCCGGCCTGGGGGCAGGCCGGCCAGAGAAAGGTGGCAGTGCTGCTCTGGCCCCAGCACAGGGGGCTCTGCACATTTTACAGCCACACGTTCCCGTATTCAGTCCTGATCCAAACATCTCTGAACCTTCTATTACTTCCAGTGAAACCACATTTCTCTCAGTTTAGTGGGTTAAGATGTAAGATCTGACATGACCAACAGCAACCGAGATCAATGTTTTATATCTGAGTGTATTTTGCTAAGATTAAGAAAATCTTAATTTCTGCCTTTTGTTTTATTTGTTCACAAATGAGACTTTGATAAATAAGGAAATATTCCCTTTCCTTGAAGAGAGCTTGATGGAGAAACTCCTTTTGATGTGGGGCACTGATTATACAAATAGCATGTTAAAAACTGCATGATTCACAATAAATAATTCTTACTCAAAGCATATGAAACAGTAAAGCAACAGACTGTTATCTGAGGATTGCTACCGATGCTGCTTTTTAAGAACTGCTTTACGAAATTCTTTGAGAAAGGACATTTCATTGTAAGAGGTCAAATAAGTTCTGCCCCTTAAAAGAAAACTGTATTAATAAGTCTCCTCCAATTCTGATTTGGCTTCAACTCTTAATAATGGATTTTTTGAAAACCCTTCATTTTTAAGTAAAATATAAACCTATAGAAAATATGCCAATGATCTGGGATGAGAATCTTCCAAATGCTATAAGGTTAAACGTTCCCAAACTTGTCCAGGAAATAAAATCAAATTTCCCTAAGCCCATCACCCCTTTGGGCTACATGTTCACTGCAGGTTTCATGGTTAACATTCACATCCCTTCAACATCTCCTATTAAAGTACAGCAGAGGCCACCCTGACCGGCGTGGCTCAGGCGGTTGGCGCCTCGTCCTGTGCCCTGAAGGGTTATGGGTTTGATCCCCAGTCAGGGCACATGCCCAGGTTGTGGGTTTGATCCCCAGTTGGGGCACCCCCAGGAGGCAACCAATCAATGTTTCTCTCTCTCCCTTTCCCTTCCTTTCTCCATAAAATCAATAAAAACATATCCTTAGGTGAGGATTAAAAAAAAAAAAAAATTAAAGCAGAGGCCCTAAGTAGATGGACTCCTGAAGCTAAAAAGGTGAACGGAAACAATTGAGGAGCACTGGCCCTCAGGTAAAAAAGATGCCCACCCAAAACAGCAACAGGCAAGATAATGAACCGCTGCCTCCTGGTTTAGAAAACAATGGGCTGCTGTGGCGGGGGACAGGTCAGGCCCAGCAAGAAGGGACGCTGTGCGATGGATGCTGAGCGAGCTAATGGTCTGAGGGCGCAGCGCTCTGAGGGCCCAGCTCCGTGTGAGGCCAGCCTTAGACCTAACTTGCAAGCAGCAGAACTCCACGCCAACAAGAAGTGTTAGCCCAGCGCTTGTCTCTTAGGGGGCCCAGGACAAAGGCTTCTGTTGCTTTAAGGACAATTCCTGGCTAAACTCTCTAAGGCCGCAAGATTAACGAGGACCGAAGTTGTGCGCTTTCCTGAGACCAAGCTGGTGACTCAGCCCCCCAGCTGCTTCAAATATTCCAGGAGCCTCTCTCCGGCGCCGGGAGGAGGAATCCAGTGAGGATTAAGGAAGAGCAGCTTCTATTTTTACCTAATGTGTCAGCTGCACATGTCACATCCTGAGCACATTTGTTTTAGGCAAAGGCTTTATTTACAATTCCCAGAACAAAAGGAACAGAGAAAGTGGAGAGGAAAAGAACCAACCCAGCTAACTGATATACTTGCTAAAGACGCTCTCAGAGCCTCCCATGTGTAGAATTGCCCGTAGTCATCAGCTCTAACTGACCAAACAGGCCCCTCAGAACCTGCACCGACCCAAACAGGAGGGTGGGGGGATCCTGCATCACAAACAACCTTTAATGAAAGTATGTGTTCAAAGAATACAACCAACCGAAGTGTAAATGGCCCCTGTGGGCGTTGCTCAGTGGTTAGAGTGTCAGCCCACAAATGGAAGCGTCTCGGGTTGGATTCCCAGTCAAGGGCATGTACCTCGGTTGCCGGTTCAATCCCCGATCTCGGTCAGGGCACATGTGGGAGACAATCAATCAATATGTCTCTCTCACATCATGTTTCTCTCTCTCTCCCCACCTTTCCCCCACTCCCTACTTCCACTCTCTCTAAAATAATCAATGGAAAAAATATCCTTGGGTGAAGATTAACAAAAAAACAAAGTGTAAATGGGAGCCAGACAATTCTACATGGTACAAAGTTCCCCAGTTCCAAACAAAATGAGTACTATAAAGCTCATCACCATCACTGACACAGAAACTGGTATCAAGATAAACAGCTGGGGCTGAATGGCGTAAGGCATAAATTTTAAAATTAGAATGCTTCAGTGTAGCCTTAAGCTCTGTAACTTAAACAGAAACGTAATTAAAGACTCGCTGACCATCCTTATCAATATATGCTGATACTTTCAAAGCTGAGGCCTCCAATAAAGAGCTCAACATAAACCATGAACAGTAAGGCCCTCACAGGAGAGAGGTGCTGTAAGCAATCCCAGCTGGACAGCAGCCTGCCAGGCTCTCCGGGCTCCTCGTCTGAGTTTCAGCAGTTACACAAAGGTAGCAAAGCTGCTGAGTGACACAGGGCATAGCACTCCAGCTGGTTTCAAATGATCAGCCCTCCCAATTAAATGCTCTAAGAATTAGAGGTGAGGGTAATCTAATCATGTGATACAGAGTAGTCATCCTATGAAATGGCATCATTCAGAAACATTCTGCACCTCTCTTTTGAGACAAAAATGAAGAGCAATTAACATACAGTTTTTGCACAGTCTCAGCACAGTTCTGGGTGAGCAGAAAATTCACTGTCACTATTATTGCTTTGTATTAAGTGTCAACAGGTCAGGATTCAATTATTTCATATAAAGATACAGAAAAATTAAGCACACATCATCTCCATTACTCTTAAGTAGAAACTAGAACGCTAACTACTAATGTTACATTTTCAAAACAAAAGTGGAGAAGCCCATTTCATTTCCAATAAGGTAAGTGAAGATTAGCTCCAGATGCAAAACATCATGCTTACATCATCTCTATATTTGGACTTGTGTATCACCACTGCTTTGGAAGGGACCGTGGACTCAGGTTTCCGGATGTTAAACTCAGGCTTTGGTCTGGTCTGCTCTTGAAGAGTTTTCCACTCATCTAGCGTCATCTCTTGAACTTGAGTTTCTTCTACCTCCAACTCAGGAACTCTACAAAGTATAATCATAAAGATTAATTTTTGATGGGTCTGAAATGTCTCCTTTCTCAAAGAAGGTCATAACCATTAGTTTAACATACTTTCATAGTACTGCATCTCAGTTCTAAATAAGGTAAGAAAATCTTTGCGCCATAAGCTTCCTTGTTTTATTTTCATGGTTTTATGCCATCATTGCCAACTGAAGGTGATTCCTGTCTGTGTTCAAAGTAGTCTTTGAAAAACAGGAACATTACCATCCTAATGACGTTAACATTGCACTTGACCACCAAGCACTCCCTTCCCAGATGGCATTACACATAAAATGAGACAACTGTAGAAGAAAATGGGAGAAGCTATTGAGATAAAACAAAGGAAACCATGAACAGATTATAAAACGATGGGCCACAAATGCCTACTTTTGTAAATATCCTCTTTAAGTTCCTAAGTTTTTAAAAGAAAACAGAAAATAAGCATGTAGATCAATGAAGTCCAGAAATAAACCCTCACACATTTATGATCAACTGATTTTTTTGGACCAGAATACCAAAGACAAAAGAACAGTCTCTTCAAGGGATATCCATGTGCAAAAGAATGAAGTTGGATCACCACCTCACACCATAAATATAAGAGCTAGAAGTATAAAACTCTAGAAAACAGGTATAAACCTTCATGACTCTGGATTTGGCAATAGTTTCCTACATATGACACCAAAAGCACAAGCAACAAAAGAAAAAAGCAAATAAACTGGACATCAGAACTGAAAACTTTTGTGTTGCAAAGGATACCATCAGGAAAATAAAAAGACAACCCACAGAATGGTAGAAAATATTTGATAATCATGTATCTGATAAGGGCCTACATCTAAGAATACATAAAGGACTCTTACAACTCAGTAAAAAGAAATGACCCAACTAAAAAACAGGCGAGGCTCTGAACAATTTTCCAAAACTAGGTCTATAAATAACCAGTAAGATGATCAACATCATCAGCCATCAGGAAAACGCAAATCAAAACCACAGCTTTCACCACTCCACACTCAAGGAGATGTTCAGACTCAAAAGGACATTTGAAAAAATGCTGGTGAGCCCTGGTCAGGTGGCTCAGTTGGTCAGAGTGCTGTCCCTATTTGCCAAGGTTTTGGGTTCAATCCCTAGTCAGGGCACATACAGAAGGAACCAATGAATGCATGAATAAGTGGAATAACAAATCAGTGTTTCTCTCTCTCTCTCTCAAATCAATAAGTTAAAAAGAATGATCAAAAATATAAATTTTATGTTATACATCTTTTACCACCAAAGGAAGTAATATACAAAAAAGAAATGGAGTATTAATACATCCCTTGACATGGACAAACCTGAAAACATTATGCTAAGTGAAGTAAGTCAGACACAAAAGGACAATTATTATATTCCACTTATATGAGGGACCTAAAATAGGCAAATTCACAGAGAATAAGTAGAATGAGGAGTCATCAGAGGCTCAGAGGAGGGGGGAGGGGAGTATTATTTCACAGGTACAGTTTCTCTTTACAACAATGAACATGTTCTGAAGATGGAGGGTAGAGATAGTTATACACAATGTGAAGGTTATTAATACCACTAAACTATACACTTGAAAATGGTTAAAATGGCAATTTTAATGTTTTATGGAGTTTATCACAATTTTAAAAACTTAATAGTGTAATATACCAAAACCCACTGAACTGTACAACTTAAATCGATGATATGAATAGTAGAGGAAATGTATCTCAAATAAGGTTTAAAAGAAAATAAATCACTGGGGGGGGGGCAGGAAGGGAATCAAATCTATAATACCGTCAGTGAAGGACATTAGTAATTTAAGGTTCCAGATTACAAATTAGTAATATGAAAAATCTAAGCAAAATCAGAGAGATTTTATAACATAAACCAGGGAACCAAATCATAGTGGAAACAAAACAGACACATCTGTAAAGTGACTTTAAATACCAAGCTGATGGAAGAAAGAGCATCGAAGGTGGATTCTCCAAGGAAGAACAAGGGAGCTTTCTGGGTGATGGTAACAATCTACATCTGGACAGGAGTTTGGGTCCCACAAGTACATGCATTTATCAAATAATGTATGCACACGTATTTTTGTACATTTTACGATAAATAAATTTTATATCAGGTTAGCTGGTGGGTATAGGTGTTTACTGTAAAAATCTTTAAACTTTGCTGTGTTTGAAATTTTTCATAATGTCAGAAAATACTAATATTAAAATATATCCCAAATAATATTGGCAAAAATATGAAAAGACGTTAAAATTTGTAATAGCAAAATACTAGAAAGAACCCAAACTCATCTAGAGAGAAACTGGTGGAAAATTACAGATATTAATCAGTAGAATATTAAACAGTTTAAAAAGTAATGAGAAATATCTGTGTATATATATATTGCTATGGAGCACCACCTGGACATGTTGCTGAAAAAGCCAGGTGGGATGGAATGTATGTTAACATTCACCTGGAGAGACATACAAATATGTACACAAAATGGATTTTTTAAATATAATATAAACCAGGAAAAGAACAGGGATAGAAGCTAGTTGGAAAATATCATGTTTTATCAGATTACACTTTTGGAAACATGTAACTATTTTACATAATTATAAAGCAATGTCTAAAATTTCAAAGCAAAATTAATCAAATTAATCCAATTGTTTATGAAGTTGGTGATTAACCAACCGAAGAAACTAAAGTGCCTTTAAAATATGAATTTACTCATTTCTCTCTATATATCTGTCTAGTAATATTATTGGAGGTAGTGTTGCAACTATTACTCAATTGCAATACACACAGCAGTCACTGTGTCTGTTGTGTGTATTGCAATTGAGTAATAGTATGATGTTACTGACAACTGGGATTTTCAGCATGGAAGGAAAAGAAACAAATATAAAAAAATTTTAGCTAAAAATCTTGTAGTCCTAAATTTCAAAAGGAAATATTAAATTAACTAGTAATACATTTTATCTTAAAAACGTGTGTGTGTCTATTTCCCAGCTCTGTCAGTTAAATGTCATAGAAACTGTCAAGAACCTAGCAGCAGTGAGCATACCTAGTGCCCAGACTATGGTCTCTAAACAGCGTGTTCTATTAAAGGACTACAGCTCTTTGAAACATGGCCCAGTATGAAGTATGGGATAGGAAGTCTAGATAATGCTCTGGAACAACAGCAAGGAAGCTATCAAAGACCACTAAATGAGTGTCAAAAGGATCATCAATCAACTTGAGATTTCCTCCAGTCAAAAAATGGGCCAGTCTAAATAAAAACTCAGTGGATTGAAACACACCAAATCTGTTTCAATCTCTCAGTTCATAATGACACTTTAAAAAGATGTGGCATCACCCAGCCACGTGGCTCAGTGGTTGAGTGTCGGTCAACCTAGGAGACAGGAGATCGAAGTTGGATTCCCAGTAAGGGCACACGCCTGGGTTGCAGGCCTGATCCCCAGTCGGGGGCCTGCAGGAGGCAGCCAATCAATGACAACTCTCATCATTGATGTTTCTGTCTCTCTCTCTCTCCACCCCCCCTTTCCTCTCTCTGAAATCAATAAAGATATATTTTTAAAAAAACACAAAGATTTGGTACCCAAAGGTTGCTAGGGAACCAACTCATTATTCTGAAAATGGATTAATAAAAGGTACTTGTAACCTTTTATTTAACAAGTGCCTTCTATTTATCCTGCATTTCCTTAATGGACTTATACCACAGTGCAATCACCTAGTCCTACTGCAGATCATTCCAGCTAATAACTAATGACAGAATTAAGACTATCACCAGTTTGCAGCCCCATGGGTAAAGGCAATAATAATCCGAGACCCTCCATAACCTATGAAACAACCTTGCCAAAAAGTTGAACCTGAATTTGATTAAACTTCTCTCATTATTCATTTTCAGGAAACACACAAAATATGAGGGAGAGAGAAACATGTTCACTGCTCTACAAGAAATGGCTATATCAAGTCATAAAGCCAATTGTTACATTTTCAGGAATTTTGTGAGCCAGCTGTTAAACATAGTCATATTAAAAATTAAATCAAATTAACTTATAATTAACTATATTATGAAAAGTTAATAAATACAACTCACTATTCCCTAATTATTTCACTACATTTTACCTTTATCTGTGCTATTGGGGTTATTTATGCCTTTTGGAGGTGCACAATGGAAATAACACATGATGGTGTGCTACTGCACATCTCTTCCCAACTCTGCGTTGTGATGTCCCGTTGGTAGTTTTAAATCAGCCATTTAAGAACATCTACACCACAGAAACCAGCAGTGCAACAGATGCGGGCGTTAAGTATTTACACCACTGCCCACAGGTATGCTTCAGTAAAATTATGACTCTGAGAAAATCTTTGGACATATGACCTAGCTTCTTTAACACATAAATTGCAAGAAGAAAAAAGAGAAAACATAGATTAAGAGTGACTCAAGGGTAATTAAGATAGAGTGACATTAGTGTAACACAGACAGACTAACAAAATCGAGTACAGGAATGCCCTCACCCACACATGGGCACCTGACTTTCAGCAGCGGCGCTCAGTGTGCCGGAACGACTGGATACACAAAGAAAGGGGCTTCTATCCACACTACAAACCGTGTACAAAAATCAACTCAAAAGGGATCAACTACATACATAGTACTTTTTTAAAGCAATGGATCAGAGTCCTAAATATAAAACCCAAAACTATAAAACCGATACATTCAATTCACCCTTCAAGAAGTTCTAAACCAAGAGGTGTGCTGAATATACATTGTAGCTGAATGTCAAAAGCTTGAGTGTTAGATTAATATTCAGACAAAGCCAAGATCAGAGAGCATCACCATTTTCAAATGTATTTCTTACATACAAGCCTAATTTTGAAATTACCAAAAAATTATAATTCTACAATTAGAAATTTTAGTAATAATTTTAACATTTGACAAGGCAGTGCAGAAGCAAAAATTCCTCAACACAGTCTGCCGCTAGATTGCCTGCGGTGCAGCGCCTGTAATTCTAACTAGACGCTCACTGTCTACTCAGTCAGCAGAAAAGAGTGGAAGATTTGCTGGCCAGCTCTGCTAGGATATTGCAGACAATGAGATGGCCACCAAATCATTATTTTGTCTTTCAGAGTAACTGATAATTTGGAAGAATTATTTTGTCTAATATTATCAGTGCTAGAGTAGCATGATCAATTCTACAGACTAGAATAATGCTACATTACTCTCTTATTCTGTTTTATGTTACCTGAATTTGTAGAAATGGCTCAAAAAAGATATAATTTTCCCCATAACTATTTAACTCACCTTCTCAACATCTATATACACTGTTAATTAGTTAACTCACTAAATATTCATATTAACTATTAATCTACTTCTTAAAATGCCTTTCTTAGCTGTTTTGAATGGTAAATTAGCAGCTTTCAAAAATCATCAATCATTATAGCATTTTACTCTTGCAATAAGTAACAAGAGCAGATATTTATACAGTACTAAACGTGCCAGTCCTACTCTACATGACACACATACACATACCCCCAACCAACCCTCAAAACAACCCTCTGATGTAGGTCCTATTATTATTCCCATTTTACAGATGAAGGAAATCAAGAACAGAGATTAAATAACTTGCCCAAATTAAGTGGCAGAGCTGGGATTTGAACCCAGCATACTCACTTGGAGTCCACTTGCTTAAACCAATAGACATGGTGACTCTTGGTAGCTAAAGGATGAATAAATGTTAAGTAGGTGAAGGCTGGAAGGGGGTTTGGAAGAGAGGTACAGGGAAAAAAGGACAGTACTTGTAAAAGCTCTACGGCAAGTGCGGGGGTAGAGGCAGGAGAAAGGTATTTGAAAACATAAAATAAGGGCCCCCTGGTAAACCCAGAGAAAGCACAGAAACCCTGCAGGAGCAGACCACACAGAACCATGCAAGTCAGGACACCAAACAAAAACTGGACGTGGGTCTTACGCAAGGTGTGTGGGGACAAGTGGACCGCCAGTGGGAAAGCCACTGTGGTGTGGCAACAGGCTGGCCAACGGTAAGCATGCAGGGAGCCCTGACAGCAGCTACAGTGACAGACCAGACGACGACAGCTGAGACTATGGTAAGTGGAGGTGGTGCATATCAGAAGGTACCGGTCATCGGGGCAGAGTGAGGCTGGGTCTTGGTGGGGAGGGGTCAAGGAGAAGAAGTTCAGGGATCACTCCCAGATTCTGGTTTACGCAACTGGTTAGATGGCAACACTGCTCCACAAGATGGACACCTACTGAGGACCGGAGGAGTGGAGACCTCCGCCCTGGACACGCTGTGCAGGAGGAGCACTGGGACGTCCAAGGGCAGGTGTCCAGCAGCAAGGTGGACACATAAGCTTGGAGTCCGTGCTGAAGCTGGGAGCCCGAGGCATATATTCCAGAGTCAGTGTATAAATGACAATTCAAGCTGCGCAGTGCATGAGTTCCTACAAAGAGACACTAGAGAAGAAGACCTAGGGGGGAGCCCTGAAGAGCTCAGTATTTTAAAAGACAGAGAGACAAGGTTGAGTCTGCCAAGGAGCTAAGAGGCGGAGGGAGAGCCAGTGTGTGCAGGAATCACGCAAACCAAGGCTCAAGATCAACAGCCCTGGCCAGGTGGCTCAGCTGGTTGGAGCACTGTCTCACACACCAAGAAAAGGTCGCGGTTTGATTCCGGGTCAGGGCACACACTTAGGCTGTGGGTTCAACCCCTGGTCAGGGCACGTTCGGGGGCAACCAATTGATGTTTCTCTCTCTCTCAACATATCCTTGGGTATTAAAAAAGAAAAAAGATCAATAAAGTCAGATGCTCTGAGAGGTCAAGGACGACACAGACCACAGCATCCACCAGGCCTAGAGGCATGTGGTGATTGCTTCAGAAGGGCACCGAGGACAGAGCCAGACCTGGAGGGAAGGGAGAAGTAAAAAGGGAGAAGATAAGGGGCGAGCACGCTCCCCAGGCAAGGTAGCTGGGAATATGTGGGGCAAGCGGAGAAGATTTAAAACAGGAGAAACTGAGCATGTTTTTAACAAATGCTACTGGAAGAGCAGAAAAGGGAGGCAGGAGGTGAACATACCTAAAAGGGGGGAGCTAAGTGACAGTGGGAGGTTTCTGTGAAGTCAGCATCAAACAGGCTTCAAAGCACGGAGAGGTGGGAGGAGAGACGGTGCCTCCTTTCAGCACAGGGAAGGCGGCCGGAAGGCACGCAGGTGTAGGCAGGTTTGCACCTTTGGGAAGGTGACGAAGTTCCCATCTAATGGCTCCTAATTTCTCTGTGACATAGGGGCAAAGTTGTATCCAGAAAATGAAAGAGCAGGTGTAGGCAAATGGGGGACAGCGTCAGGGATTTGAGAGGACAAGAGGATTAAGTCAGTCATTGTAGTGGGGGAGAGAAAGAGTGAACCCACGAAATGGGGGTTGCTGGGCGGTGCTGCAGGCTCTCAGAATGCTGGTGGTCAAGAGCGACTCACAGGGCCCAGCCCGCGGGTGCAGAGAGGAGGCGGACAGCAGCAGTCAGTCGGCAGGTGGGTTCTGCTAGCCAGGCACGACAAACCCAAGGCGCAGGGGAGTTTAAAGACTTGGCAATCGTGCTGGAGATGAACCAGAGACCTCAGCTCCACGAAGAAAAGAGGGGAGAGAGAATAAAGGGGCAAGAGAAGGGCGTCATGACAAGAGAGAGACTAGTCAGAGGACAGGTTGCAGATGGAAAAGAGGTGTACACACAGGACAGAAGACCTGAATTTAACTCATTCATTATCATTACTAATCATTTATTAGATTTGAATTATTAATTAGCTCAATTATTCAATAATATATTAAGTAGATAAACCTCTGTGATACGACAAAAGGCTGAGCTTCCTGCTCTAGGAAGAGCTCTTAGAAATTGGTAAGAAAAAGCCCAACAACCCAATGGGAAAATGAATGAAACACCTACTTGGCTGGAGACCCCTCCTCCAGGGGGTCCGGCGGCTCCTCCACCACAAGGGGCTCCTCCGAAGGCTCAGTTGGTTCCGCGTCACTGAAAGCAGGGACAACCATTCTAGTCACACAAACTTGTTTACATCAATGCTCTTACATGTTCAAGATAAAAAAAAACATATTTCAATGTCCTTTTCTTAAGTAGATATCCCTCAAGGAATTATATATCCATGCAGGTAATCCACATTAAAATAAAAAAGAGAAAACGCTCTCAATTGCTAATCCATATAAACTATATCCACAAATGTGAAAGGTAGTTAGAGAAATAGAAGTTTCTATGAATGGTCTAAAATTTAAAACTGATTATAAAGGACCAGAAGAAATATTCAACTCTTACGAACTTAGGAAATTCCCAGTATCAACAGAGACCATGAAATGACTTACAATAGGTAAGAATGTGCCATATCAGACTTGCAGAAAATGGTAAGAAAGTAAAAACATTCCACAGAAATAAGTGTGCAGGATTACAAACAAGCTGATAATAACTATACTTGAAAAAGGTTGAAACATCAATTTATATACCACAGTCTGCACATTCGAAAATTACAGCACGTAAAACAATCTGAATTTTAACACATATGATCTTAATTCTTCCTTTTTATGGTAACATTAATCCTATCTGAACATTACTTAAAAACAAAATAGTCCCAGCAAAAGAAATTTCTTTTTCAGGAAAATGCTAAAATTAGTCAATATATTTAAATATATAATGTCAATATAATGGATATTACATATCCATTAGAAATATTTTACACTCTACATACAGAGGGCAGTTTCATAAAATAAGCTATTTTTCAAAAGTAAACATAAACTGAACTGTAATAACAGAATACTCATTTTACACTAATATTTTTTAATTCTCAAATCAAAGCTATTGTAATCAACTTTTAAAATATCAACTCACTTTTTTAATACAAAATTTGAATGATTTTCACTTTTATAAAAATATGTTTTTATTAACTCTAAAGAGAGAGGAAGGGAGAGATAGAAACATAGATGAGAGAGAAATACCAACATTGATTGGCTGCCTAGTGCATGTCCCCCTCCTCCCTCCTGCAGACTGGGAATCGATCCAGCGACCTCTTGGTTCATGGGTCAATGTTCAACCACTGAGTCACACAGGCGGGGCAATTTTTACTTTTAAAAAAGGTCCTATATCAAATGCACTTGGGATTGGGAGGGCATCCTTGCTACTCCGCCCAGCGGAGGCCCCTTCACAAAGGCCACCTCTTCACACCTGCCTGACCCTGCAAGATCATGGAAGCTTTTAGCACCCAGGAGCCCCAAAGTCGAGCAGCAGCCAAACCACCAAATGACTCCAACTTTCTCTTTATTCCCTTGGCCACATAATAAACCAAGGGGATAAAAAACATAGGTGTATTGACAATTCATAGCTTTCAACAATTAAAATCCATAAAACGGCTACAAAGATATGGGGAAGGAAAAAAGCAGAATACAATACCAAGAGACTCTGTAAAAACCAGTATTTCTAAAACTTGAACAAATAATTTTAAAGAAAAAAAAAAATCACAGATCTTCTCCCTGTATTGACCTAAATTATTTTATGAATAAATGTAAAACTAACATTGTATTTATAGCTCTTAAAGTACCATATGACCACAACTACAAAACAATTAAGTTTCAATATCAGGTACAATTTATTCTGCCAGATTTTGTTATTTTGTTTAAAGTCAATCCCCGATGTTGGATTAGTTAGAAGAAAGACATAGCTCCAGGGCCAAGTGTATGTTTTGACTTCAGCTGTTCTAACATAGAAAGTGCCTGTTTGAGCACTTATGTTCCACAAACGATGCTGAACACCTCAAGGCTTTGTTTCCTAGCTCAAATTCAATCAGACTTCACACTTAAACGAATCAATGACAGTAAACAGATTTTAGCCAAATGTTCCTTGATTACTACATAAACTGTCCTGCTCTTCACAACAGAAGCTGGAAGGCAGCATTATTGCAAATTGCATTCATGAGCGTCTATTTCAATTGGTAACAAGGAAATAATATCTGATATTATACTTTGTAAACTGCTGCTGATGGAGCAAATTCTACTTCCAGCAGAGGTACTCACGATCAAACTGTTCTGAAAACCAGTAACATTGGAAATGGCTCAGTCACATCATTTTGAAAGCATCTTGTCCACAGATCTGGTCCTACTGCCAATATCTTCAAACGGAAATATTAAACTACAGCAAAACGCTCACACCTACAATGAAACGTGCAGCACCTGGCCTCGCCAGCCACCGACACATCACTTACCGCATTAGGCCCACCTCTGCTCTTTTCTCATTAATCAAAGGTAGCACGTAACTCTACTACACTGCACGGTTTTCATGATGGCAAGTCAAAATCTCAAAAATTAAGTAAACAAAGTCTTACTCTACAATAAATCTTTCAAGTACAGATTATTACCATCTTAGAGCTTTGACTTCATTACTCACAAACCAACCCAAAATGAGTGCCACGGGGCACCTTTCACCTCCACGTCGGACGTGCCGGTCCAACAGCCAGGAGCACAGGCACCTCGTCTTGCTACATGGCCAACACTGACCTTTGTTACCGCAAGTAATCACCTGGAGCCAAAAAGTTTACGTTCAAACGTAAACGGAAATGGAGCGGCAGTATTAAAGCAGTAAACCAGATGACTCAAGAGGTGCCCATGTTACTCTTTAAAAATATTTTATCACAAAAATGTATGTGTCTTATCACAGCAAAATAAAACAAAATGAAAAGATTTGTGGTCAGGATCTCATGGAACCCCAGACTGAGAACATTCAACAAGTTTTTCCTTTCAAGGACAGCACAGATGTGCAACGGTAGTCGATCTAACGTTACATTTGATATTACTGTGTACATTTGTCTTTAAGGATAATAACTTCAGAAAAATCAGTTTATATAAAAAGCTTATATTCAAAGAAGAAAAGTAGAAGTCTGGATCCTCTTAAGAGTTCAAACTTGTGGGAAGCCTGCCCTGCAACATGCTAGGCTGACCCATTCCTCGCCTACACTGCCTTCAGGTGCTTCCTGCCTAAGCCTTTGCAGACACCAGGCAGGCATCATCCCTGTGGCTATGAAATGACAGAAACAGCAGAACCAAGCACCTCCTTTAAGGAGCAAGCTAGCACAGATCTGAGACACCATGATACCTCAGAGAAATGTCAAATTTGAACCTCAGATGAAACTCTGTCACTGAGCTTCAATCTGCAAGTGATTTCAGGAAATCAAGATGTAATATATATAAGATCTTTGAAAGATCATGAAAAAGGTAAGTATAGAATATTCAGGCATTTTAAAGGCACTCTGAGGCATACGCAAATGCAGCGTCATGTGCTTGGGGCATCAGCAAACACACAAATTTGTTTGGCTAAAATAAGACAAATGAATTTTTTTTTTAATTGAATTTATTGGGGTTACTTGGGTAACAAAATTATATAGGTTTCAGGGGTATGATTTTATAACACATCATCTGTATATGGTACTGTGTGTTCACCACCCCAAGTCAAGTCTCCTCGATCACCATTTATGCCCCTTTACCCTCTCCTACCTCCCCCCACCCCACTTTCTCTCTGGTAATCACCATACTGTTTGTGAGGGGTTTTTTGCTTTTTTGCTTAATCCCTTCACCTTTTTCACCCAGCCCTCCTACCCCCCCTTCCCTTNCTCTGAGGCATACGCAAATGCAGCGTCATGTGCTTGGGGCATCAGCAAACACACAAATTTGTTTGGCTAAAATAAGACAAATGAATTTTTTTTTTAATTGAATTTATTGGGGTTACTTGGGTAACAAAATTATATAGGTTTCAGGGGTATGATTTTATAACACATCATCTGTATATGGTACTGTGTGTTCACCACCCCAAGTCAAGTCTCCTCGATCACCATTTATGCCCCTTTACCCTCTCCTACCTCCCCCCACCCCACTTTCTCTCTGGTAATCACCATACTGTTTGTGAGGGGTTTTTTGCTTTTTTGCTTAATCCCTTCACCTTTTTCACCCAGCCCTCCTAACCCCCCTTCCCTTTGACAGCTGTCAGTCTGTTCTCTGTACCTATGAGTCTGTTTCTATTTTGTTTGTTGGTTTATTTTGTTCATTAGATTCCACATATAAGTGAAATTTTGTCTTTCTCTGACTGGCTTATTTCATTTAGCATAATGCTCTCCAGGTCCATCCATGCTGTTGCAAAGGGTAAGATTTCTCTTTTTAAAAAAAAAATATATATATATATTTTTATTGATTTCAGAGAGAAATGGAGAGGGAGAGACAGAAACATCAATGAGACAGTGATTGATCAGCCACCTCCTGCACTCCCCCCCACCTCCTGCTGGGGATTGAGCCCAAAACCTGGGCATGTACCCTGACTGGGAATCAAACCTCAATCTCCCGAATCATAGGTGGATGCTCGATCACCGGCCAGGCAGATTTCCTTCTTTTATGGCTGAGTAGTATTACATTGTGTAAATGCAACACAGCTTTTTTTATCCACTCATCTACTGACGGACACTTGGACTGCTTCCCAATCTTGGCTACTGTGAATAACGCTACACATATTCTTTCGAATCAGTGTTTTTGGTTTCTTCAGATAAATTCCCAGAAGTGGAATTGCTGGGTCATAATGTATTTCCACTTTTAATCTTTTGAGGCAACTCCAAACTGCTTTCCACTGTGGCTGCCCCAGTCTGCATTCCCACCAGCAGTGCACTAGGTCCCCCTTTCCCCACACCCTCGCCAGCACTTGCTGTTTGTTGACTTGTTGATGGAGCCATTCTGACAGGTGTGAGGTGCTACCTCATGTGGTTTTAGTTTGCATCTCTCTGATGATTAGCAATGTTGAGCATCTTTTCATATGTCTCTTGGCCATCTGTGTGTCCTCTTTTTTAAAAAAAGAATATGTTTTTATTGATATCAGAGAGAGGAAGGGAGAGGGAGACAGAGAGAAACATCAATGAGAGACAGTCATTGATCAGCTGCCTCCAAGCCCACAAGCTGGGCATGTGCCCTGACTGGAATTGAACCGCAATCTCCTGGCTCATGGGTTGACATCAACCACTGAGCCAAGCCGGTTGGGCTGTGTGTCCTCTTTGGAGAAGTGTCTATTTAGGTCCTTTGCCCATTTTTTAATTGAATTGTTTGTTTTCCTGGTGTTGAGTTTCACAAGTTCTTTATAAATTTTGGCGAAAGAATTTTAAAAACAGTTTTCAAATCTAATAGCAACACAGCAAACCCATTTTTAAAAGTTATCTCACTAAACAAAAGCCTAAAATCAACCTCTATTTCAGGGAACAAAGTATACAGACCTGCAAGCACAACAGAGAACATAATTTTTATGAAAGACAGACAAGAACCGAGTTTTCCACTTAACTGTAGGTCCACAGAATGCACACATTTGCACTGTACCTGGTGTCTTTACTGGATCCCCAGGTGCGAACTCCACATCCACCCATGTTGTCTTCAGTTCTCATTGCTCTAGAGAAGGAAAGAATATTCCCTTAAACTGAAAGCTGGCTGTAGTCAATCTCTGACGCAGAGAAGTTGATCATGAACGCTATCCCGGGATCAGCTCCTTCAGGAAGAGCAACTTACTAATATAAAGTCAACTAAACAGTAACACATAATAGATTCATACTATGTATGACTACGATCTTGAAGTAAAAACAGAATTTATAAAGAAACTTACATTTTATCATTCCCAACATATCTCTCAAATTCCCGTTTCCCTCTCTGGTCAAAACGGTCGAAAGCTCTGCTCCCGGGACCACTTCGGCCTCTGCCCCGCAGGGCCCCTCTGGGACCACCCCGTCCTCTCAGGGGTCTGTCTCGATCAAATCTGTCAACCGGTCTAGGAAAAGACAGGTATAATAAAAAGTGGTCAGTTAAAGAGCTAAGGCTTTTTAAGAAAAAAAATTCGAGGACATTACAGCTGCGGTATATTGTAAAGAGTGGTGGCCTGAACAATGAATTACATGTTAACTTTTACTGAACACATACTATCCCTGGTGTTGTTCTGAGTGCTTCACATACAGTCATTTAATTCCCACAAACAAATCTATAATATACAACTATTGCCCACAGATGAGGAAACTGAGACGCAGTGGAGGTAGGTAACTTGCCCGAGGTCATACGGCTACTAAGTGGGGTGCAAGTGAGAGCAGGCCCTAAGCAGGTCTTATATTAGTCTGCAGAGGGGAACCCCTTTCTCTCTCTGGATCTGGTTTCCTAGATAAACTAACCTGAAGGTTCCTTCCACTTCTAATACTAAATATTTAAGTTAAATTTGGAATGTTTATGTAATAAGAAAAATGATTCAACTTCAAATTATGCCCCCTCCTAAATATCCCTATCTCAAACACACAACCAGTCAGTGACATTTGGAGCTGAAATGTTATCCTATGACAACCTGACTTCTACCCCACTACTCCACATAAACGTCCAAGGACAGCTAAAGACCACCTCTTGGCTGTTAAACCCAATAGTAACTTTTGTCTTTAAGTCATTTGGCCCCTAACTCACCAGGTGATACTGCCAACCACTACTTTTCCTCTGACCTCTCTGGCTTCTTTTTCCTTAAAAAACTATTCTTGGCCAGGCTGGTGTGGCCCAGTGGTTCAGCATCAACCTATGATCCAGAAGATTGCAATTCGATTCCTGGTCAGGGCACAAGCCAGGTTGTGGGCTCGATCCCCAGCAGGGGTGTGCAGGAGGCAGCCGATCAATGACTCTCTCATCACCGATGTTTCTCTCTCTCTCTCCCTTCCTCTCTCTGAAATCAATAAAAATATATTTTTAAAAAATTATTTTTGTAATAGGTAATACCAATACATGGTACAAAATTGACAAGGTACTCCCCTTGCTCCTCAGCACCTTACTTCCACTTCTAGAGGCAGGCAATTCCGGGGTGACACAAAGGGAAAAGCACTGCACCTTGCCTTTCCCACCCACCATGTCTTGGCACTCTACACACAGCTGCCTCCCTTTCTCTTCTACTCATCCGTCCTGAAGGGCGCTGGCATTCCCAACTTCCTGTCCCCTGCACACCGGCCTCACCTCTATGCCAATGCTATGTGGCCCTCATTCCCGTGACCCCGTGTCTCTCACTGGGGGGGGGG